GAGTTTTTGATGCTGATGGGCAGCTGAATTCACACTTCTCAATGCTAAGGGTCAGTATTTTCCCTGTTGGGGATCAGTGAAAACACCTTCATGGGACTCTCTGGCATTAGTGAACTGCTAACTTAATGAACCACACCCTGCCTTCAATATAAATTGATTGTAATCTTATTAAGTTATAACTTCTTAATTTGGGATTATGATGGGTACTGTGATACAGTCTAGGTCAGAGGTTGGCAAATTTCTTTTGTAAAGGGCCACATAGTAACTGTTTTACATTTTGTAAGCTGGATAGTCTCTGTGTTGCAACTGTTCAGCTCTTCTGTTGGAACTGGAAGCAGCTATATAGACAATAAGTAAATGAGTGGGGGTATAGCTATGTTTCAGTACAACTTTATAAAAATAGATGGCTGGCTGGATTTGGCCCATGTGCCATAGTTTGCTGACACCTAATATAGATACTCTAACCTCTAAGGATTTGGACTGAAGCAGGAGTATGTTTTATAAATAATACATTTCCCAGAAAGTTACTCCCCTAACTTCTCACAGTGGATTGAAGAGTGACTATATCACATTTAAACTCATTTTCATATCAGTGCCTTTGCTTGGGTCATCCTTCTGCATAGATCTGTGTTTCTCAATGGGGATGTTGTTGGCATTTTTGGTGAGATTGTACATTGGGAGGGAACACATCTTTGTCAGGGCACATAGCCATTCACACCCCCAGGTCATTATTTCCAAAAATGTGTGGATTACAACCCCTGGCTGAGATGGCTTATTTTTCCTTCTCCTTTCCCAGCAACACCCAAGTTCTACCTCTTTTCCTAGTCCTTATTATACTTCATTAACTCTTAAATGGTTGCAGCTAGGAATATATTATTATGCACTTAATTTCATAATCATTTGTCCTTAGATTGTAAGTTCATTGAGGATAGGAATTTTTGTCTTTTTTGCTTACTACTTTCTTCCCAGTGCTAATAACTCTGTTATGAATCATAGTAGGTGCTCAGTAAGTGTTTAAATTACATCGTTTACTGTTATGGAAAAATGAGACTTACCTCCTTGGTGAGATTTATAAGCTCCTGATTAATAGGGACCATCCCTCGTACTAATTCTGTGTCACCCAGGAAACTGAACTTAATACTGAGCTTAAATACTGGGTGGTTCAATTTACTAAACCTGTGGGCATCTGCTATGTGGAAGGCACTGTGTATGCTAGGTAATATACACAGATGATTAGCACTCCTGCTTTCGTTGCATTTTTGTCTGATGGGATGGAATTTAGTCAATACACAAATAGCAAAAATATATTATCAGTAGTTAAGAGTGAGCTCTGGAGGCAGACCTAGATTCAGTTCCTATGTCTGCAACTGTCTCTTTGAGCAAGTTGCTTAATATCTCTTCATTCTTTAAATTTCTGCCACCTCAAAGGGTTGTTAGTACCTTTTAAAAGAAATGATGTTAGCATTTTGCATAAAATTAAGTTCTTACTATTATACCATAATGTCACATGCTAGAGACATTATGCTAAGGCCAAATTTAGAAGTTGGAAAGATTACCTCTGGTTTGAGGTGGGAGAAGTGGCAAAGCTTCATAGGGAAGATGGCATTTAAATGCATCTAGATGGATTGATAAAATTTATACAGTGGCAGGGATGGGGATAAGATTTCCTAGAGGGGAAAGGATGAGCTATGAACAAAATAAGTTGAGAGAATGCAGGATGTGTACTGAAAGCAGAAATGTCCCTCAGTAAACTCATATTTCCACCACACCTTACACTGCCTTCTCTGGGCAATTACCTAATTTGGTGAAAGATGCTGTCTATTGTTATTCAACCATGCTCTCCTCCCCTCCATCTCCCCCACCTAGGGAGACAGTTGTGTTTCAAATCTAAACTTTTCTTGGGTAGAACATTTCATAACTCTGAATTTAACTACTCTTGCGTTCTGAACATCATCCATCCCACCCCCCAACACACACACACACACACACACACACAGAGTAGTGTGCGGGGAAGTACATTTTAATCAGTTTGGCTTGTTCAACCCTTGAGTATTGTCCTCAATACCTAGTAAAAGTTCAGTCTATTTCAGGGATACAGTGGGGTCGTAAATGAATGATCCTGATTGAAGCCAGTTTCAACTAAATTTTAAAAATTTGAATATGAACTTTTGAAATGGATGTTGTCTGAGATCTTTGTGAATCCCCGTATTTGTGAATACCCTTGTAGCATGTAATTTTCTCATTCAGAAAATTGAGGATATTGAGGATTTAATGAAATTAAATTTCCATGTTTATTACATTTTAAGATCTACTTAAGAAACCTTTTTTCAGTGTTTCCAGAAGTGTGGTTAGAATTCAAAGGAAATGCACAATATAACCCTAAAACAAGTTTTAGTATTAAAAATAATAATTGCATACCAAAAAGTCACCCAGCTATTTATTACACTTTGGTCTTTAAACATCACTGATTCTTTTTCTCCAGTCATTGAATGACAGCGGTTGTGGGATAAGTACTGTAGTTCCCTCACACCTAGCGCAAAATGACTCTGAGGAATGTTCTTCACTGTCTCCTAGAAATTCCCAGCAGTATTAAGTCCCAGTTGCCCACAGCTGCATAGTCAGCCATACTGCACCCTTTATTGGCTTCCTTCCCTTCCCTGCCTCAGTTCTCTACTCCCTTACTGGTGTTTCCTAGGGTAACTTCCCAAATAAACCACGTATACTAAAACCTTTTGTCTCAGGGTGTACTTCTGGGGAAATACAGCCTAAAATAATACAGTAAGAAACATTTTAGTAAGAGTTTGAAATTTTTTAAGTTTTAGAACATAAGTTTGGAGAACACATAGTGGGTACTCAACTGTTTGCCCTTTTTGAAAAAAGGGAGTAGGTAGCTAGTTTCCCATATGGGGGCCAGAGGTCAGATTGAGTCTGGATAGGCATCTCTGTTTTGTACTGCAAAAGGAATCACTGATGTTTATAGCCCAAAATGTAAATGGCTAGCTGTCATTTTAGCATGTGGGGCTTTTTTAAATACTAAAATTTGTTCTACGTTTATATTGTGCATTTACTTTGAATTCTAACTACCTTCCTGGCAACACTGAACATAAAATTAAATCCAGTTCAAGAAACAGAAGGAACTAGAGGAAGAATAAAGAGATACAAGCAAGAGAGAATAGGATAGCATAGACATTTTCTTATTCCTGAAAAATAGGTTTTTCTCTTAGATTACTCATAGAATTCTGCTGACAGATTTTTTAAAATTGAAGTATAGTTTATTATTCATTCATTCATTCATTCATTCATTCATTTATTTATTTATGGCTGAGTTGGGTGTTTGTTGCTGTGTGTAGGCTTTCTCTAGTTGCAGCGAGCAGGGGCTACTCTTCGTTTCGGTGTGCGAGATTCTCATTGCAGTGGCTTCTCTTGTTGTGGAGTACAGGCTCTAGGAGCACGGGCTTCAGTAGTTGTGGCTCATGGGCTCTAGAGCGCAGGCTGAGTAATTGTGGTGCACGGGCTTAGTTGCTCCGCGGCATGTGGGATCTTCCCGGACCAGGGATTGAACCCGTGTCCCCTGCATTGGCAGGCAGATTCTTAACCACTGCACCACCAGGGAAGCCCTAATTGAAGTACAGTTGAATTACAATGTTGTGTTAATTTTTGCTGTATGGCAGAGTGACTCAGTTAATGCATACACACACATACACGTACATACATACATACATACATACACATACTTTTTTATATTCCTTTCCATTATGGTTTATCCCATGACATTGAATATAGTTCCCTGTGCTATACAGTAGGACCTTGTTGTCCTTCCATTCTGTATGTAATAGTTTGCACCTACTAACCCCAAACTCCCAGTCCACCCCCACCCCCTGCAACCACAAGTCTGTTCTCTATGTCTGTGAGTCTGTTTCTGCTTTGTAGATAGGTTCATTTGTGTCATATTTCAGATTCCACATATAAGTGATGTTATATGGTGTTTGTCTTTCTCTTTCTGACTGACTTCACTTAGTATGATAATCTCTAGTTGCATCCATGTTGCTGCAAGTGACATTTTTATGGCTGAGGAGTATTCCATTGTATATATGTACCACATCTTCTTTATCCTTTCATCTGTCGATGGACATTTAGGTTGTTTCCATGTCTTGACTATTGTGAATAGTGGTGCTATGAACATAGGGGTGCCTGTATTTTTTTGAATTATAGTTTTGTCTGGGTATATGCCCAGGAATGGGATTGCTGGATCATATGGTAATTCTATTTTTAGTTTTCTGAGGAGCCTCCATACTGTTTTTCATAGTGACTGCACCAACTTAACATTCCCACCAACAGTGTAGGAGGGTTCCCTTCTCTCCACACCCTCTCCAGCATGTGTTATTCGTAGACTTTTTAATGATGGCCATTCTGACTGGCGTGAGGTGATACCTAATTGTAGTTTTGATTTGCATTTCGCTAATAATTAGCAATGTTGAGCATCTTTTCATGTGCCTATTGGCCATCTGTATGTGCTGACAGATTTTTTATTTCAGGGCAGGTTTGATTAAAAAGAAACCACAGAATCTGTCCCAGTTGATTGGATTCTGTGCCACCTGTTGACTCATCAGTTGTTTTGATGTTTTAAAAATACATTGTAGGGCTTCCCTGGTGGTGCAGTGGTTGAGTGGTTGAGAGTCCGCCTGCCGATGCAGGAGACGCGGGTTCATGCCCCGGTCCGGGAGGATCCCACATGCCGCGGAGCAGCTGGGCCCGTGAGCCATGGCCGCTGGGCCTGTGCGTCCGGAGCCTGTGCTCTGCAACGGGAGAGGCCACAGCAGTGAGAGGCCCGCGTACTGCAAAACAAAACAAAACAAAACAAAACATTGTAACTATATTGTAATGCAGGATAGATTTTTAATAACATAAAACATCCTGGATACCATATTTTATAGTATTTGTAACATATGTATTAGACATAAATGCTTTTCCTAAAAGTCTCTTTTTCCCTTTCTTTCCAGAATGCTGCCTTTTTATATGGTCTTGGTTTGGTCTACTTCCATTACAATGCATTTCAGTGGTAAGTTGACATAAAACTAATAACTCCAGTTGTTTTCAGTAGATGACTTATTTAGTTTGTATTTTTGTGTGTGTGTGTAATAAATACAAAATATTTTAATATCACTAAGCCTACATTTCCCAATAATCTCCTGAAATTATTAGTTTGTTCCTTCAGGGATATTGACCTACCTTAGATTATTAGAAATATATGTGTTCCTAAAAGAATCTGGTATAAGATTCTGATTAAAGAAGACTTAGATTAGAAAGCTTTGGGAATTTCTCAGTCACTTGTTGTGGACTGGTGGTCCCCAGGTTATTTGAACTGGGGAATGACTCTACTCTCTATTCTCAAGTTGGTAAATGGTCTGTGATGAGCAGTATTTCCTTTTCAGACTTTTAGATATATTGACTGCTCCTTCCCTTCCTCCTTCACCAAAAGACACACACACACACGAGTGTGCTAGTACTTTTCCAATTTCTAGTAACTAGGCACTAGATTATAAACTCTCAATTTTCTCTTCTATAAAATAGGAGTAATGGTACCACCTTCAGAGTCAGACATTAAATATGATAGAAATATATATAAGATTTTATAAACGGTAAAGTATAGGTCCCTGTTACTGTGGCCTTTGCCCCCTTGTTGTCTTTCTGTTTACCAGACAAGACAGTAACATTCTCTAGTGGAAAGAACATAGTTGAAAGATTGGTATTCTGGTCTCAGCACTGCCACTTAGTTTGATGTGTTTCCTCATTTGTGTGTGTGTGTGTTTTAGGTACAGTTACTTGCCTTTTCTACTCTACAGAGTTTTGATGATCAAATGAGATAATGTACATTTTGCAAACTGTAAAGCCCTATGTAGACATTTTTTGAAATATATTCGACTTTGTCAGAGTGCCTTCTATTCTCCATAATTTTAAGCTGAGTGGGTGCTGAGAAAGTCCAAAGGAACATTTTGACCAAAGGTTTTAACCCTGTCATATACCTGTTGGGCATCCTGGATATTTATTACAGAGCTTTTAAATATGCATTGTCAATGATTTGATATGGTTTCTCTGAAGATGAAACTTAAGACATGAATGACTTTTCCCAGATGCCTTTTCTTTCCCGTTTGCTTTTGGTCCTGTTGGGTTTTGATCATCTATGGAAGCACTGCATTGTTAGAGAACACCTGTGTCGATAGAGTATTATAATCATTCAAATCACTCATTTTCTTTGTAAACAAAGCTATAATTGATCTTTATAAAGAAGCTTTGTAATATTTTTCTTTTAAATTATCCATCGTTGTAGAGCAAGCCTAAATTTAAGCCTCCTAACTTCATAGCCCGTGTATCATATGTAAAATCAAGAGTAGATTAGGACTGTTTTAAAATCTCTTTACTTTCTTGAAGATGCTATTCATAGAATTCACAATTCTAAACTTTTAGTACCAGAGTGGTCTTAAGAGATAACTTAGTTTTTTTCCCTTAATTTTATAGACATAGAAAACAAGGAGTGTGTATGTGTGTGTAACTCAGTATTATATAACTGTTTAATTGGTGGCAGAAGCAAACTTATGCTCAGATTTCCCAGTCTAATTATTTTGTCTGTTGTAGTCTGTCCCCAAGTTTGAAGATTGATTGGTGGTTATTTTTTAATCAGTATTTGTAATTGTTCTCCTGGGCACATTGGTAAAATCTTTATGGCCAGCCAGAAATAATTTAGATGAAACTGAAGGCAAGGACCTCTGCAGTTTAGAAATGAACATGTATACCTCACACCAGTTACTTTTCACCTACCTGTGAAAACTTGTGAAGTCCCTGTAGATTGAAGATACAAGCATAAGATCAGTAGTGAGGTGAAGCCATCATCAGTTGAAAATTGGATTGCATTAAAAAGTATGTGACCATGTCAAGTTAGGGGGCTTGTAGTGTGGAAAATTATATCTTTTGATTCCTTATCTACATATGATTTCTGTGTCCTTCAGTTGGCTTAAGAAATGAAACTGAAATGATATAAGAATGATGCAATGTCTGAATTAGTAAGTGCCTTCTGTTCTGTTGATCCTGTCCTGGTTACCACCATTTTCTCATGTCTTGAGTGTCAGCTCTAGCTGCTCCCTAAAATGACATACCTCACACCCTCTCTTAATCCATCATGGATGTGTGTTTCCTGTCTTGCTGGTCAAATGTTCTTTCACAAACTCTGTGCCCCAATTTTTGCTTTCACTTATCTTGCTATTTCTTGAACAGCCACAAAGCTAGAAGGCATGGAGTAGGTGCTTGGTGAGAGTTTTAGAGTATAGCCTTAACGGGTAGGAACTTCCTTAGGTTAAAACTATACTTGTGTGTTATTTGGTTTTACTTATAGGTGGCTATTAATTTCTGGGAACAGACCCACCTCCACCCCCAACACATACTAAGTTCTTTGGGATTTGTTGAAAAAATATTTCCAGAGAAGAGTGTGGTATGCCTTTTTTGTATTGTTAGCTCAGAATGTTCCATCTCTTATACATTTATAATTTAAGTAGAATTTAATATTTGTAAATGGTGTCTGTTGTTATTTAATTAGATTAAGTATTCGAGAATAATGTGTGCAACCACCATGTGTGTTGGGGTTGGTGATGGCGACTTAATAAATTATTAAGAGCAATTTTATTAACTGGTTTTATCTGTTAACCTGTTTGTCTTGTTTCTTGCCATATTATGCTCCCCCCGCCCCCTTTTTGGGGGGAGAGTTGATTTTATTGTTAGCCTCTGGATGAGTTCAGTTATTTGGTCAGTTTTTCCAGTTTCAATTTCAGCCTCTTAGAGGAGCCCATGTCAGAAAGTAGTAGAACAACTGTTACATCCTCACTGGATTTATCATAATTATTTAATTTTACTATTATCATACACAGTAATCTGTGACCAAACTTAAAATAAATATAAGGAGAAAGGAAGACATAGAAGCCCATAGTAAAATGCATGCAGCAGAGAGCTAGAACCAGTATCTATAAAGCTGTTCCTTTCCATGTGCATGAGTGCATGCCCATGCCTTCACTTGTTCTTCTTCATGAGGGTGGCATATTGCTAAGGGTACCTTGAACTGAGCTTTTCCTTGCCTTTGTAGTAAGGAAACTATATCCTTGGGTGAAAGGAATTGAAATATATACAGTAATAAAGTATTATAACTTACAGCCATATTTCTAAATATACCTCCCTGAAAATCCTTATCATTCCTCTCTCTCTAGCCTATAACCTTTTGTATTCCCATTGATCAATATCAGAATGGTCTTATAGTGGCAAACCTAAGAGCTACATAATTCTGTGCCAGAGGCATAGGATTTTGGAAATTAGCTTCCCAAATCTAATTGATAAGCCCTGGTAAGGAAATGTAGTGATTATTATTTTGACATCAGCAAGGAGTAGGGTAATGAGATGGAGGTGAGATTAAAAAGACAGAAATGTTAACACATTACAAGGGAACTTTCTCCAGGACTCATTTCCCTAGCGTGTACGAATTACAAGTGTTCTTAGGGGTGTAGGAATCTCTGCCCTCCTTGTAAAATCACTGCTTTGGGTGCAAACATAAACTTAATGTAGTTTGAGATAACCACCATTGATCCTGAGGCTTGTTTAGCATGGAGTCTGGCAAAAACTTAATATTTAATATATGTTTTTGAGCTATCATTTTGCAAACTAATGCTCTTAGATCAAAAGTTTTTTTCTATTAAAATAAAACTTCACGTTAACATATGTTGAGTTTATTCTGTTCGCTGCTGTTTTGAAGAAAATAGCAGATAACTAGGCAGTTTTGGTAAAGTTATGCTTACCAGTGACACATAGATTGCCAGAGAGAATTTGGAAGGGTTTGGATTGATTAAGCTTCAGGGAAATTATGAATAAAAACATAAATTTTACAATAGGGGTGGGAAGAAAACATCCCACTGTCCACAGTGATGAAATGAAGATGGCTGGAGAGGGCAAAAGAACCAGGAGGTAATATATTAGCAAATGTCAATGTGAATAGCCTAGTGTATGATACTTCTAACTTATCCTCACATTTAAGGTCCTCTCTGTTTCAACCTCAGATGACCTTTCTAGACTTATTGTTCCCCTAAATATATTCTTTGTGTCAGTCACTACTGTATTAACATTTCCCTGAAAATGTCTTGAGCATTTTTTTACCTATGCAAGTTGGTTTGTGCCATTTACTCTTTGGTCTGCCTTCTCCTTCCGTCTCCACTTTAAAACTCTTACCTTACCTTACCTGTCTCTTTGAGTTCTTAATCAAATCTATTTGTCTCATTTAGAAGGAACCTCTAAATTTCCAAAAATATATATATGTGTGTATAGAAGTGTGTATATCTGTTGTGTATATATGTTATTACTGATTTAGAGCTAGAATATGCTCCATTTTATTAGTATGAAAATTTATGGAATTAGTTCCTTTATCTCTTCAGATATCCCTGAGGGAACTCTCTGGACTCAGCATTATTAGCTTCAGAGAACTTAAAGTTTTATTATGTCTCTTTTCAAATGTACTAAAACTGTGCTAGGATGTTTAGTCAATATCATTATTTTTCTATAGTTTGGTAAAGTTCTAAAGGAGGCTTTTAAAAAATGGCTCTAGAAATCTTATTAAAAATGACCATTGTTTTAAAATATATTCAGCATGTGTGTGTTTTTTGCAGGTAGTGCTATTGAAGTTATCATTTCCTTTTAAAACTTGTTAACAATGGCAAACATTAATTGCAAAAAATTTTAAACTGAAAATTGATAGAAATAATTTTGGTGATATAAAAACATTCTTTAGATTTTAAGAAAATGCATGGATACTCAAGCATAGCAATATGCACTTGTTTAAAATTTCAGTAGAGACTGTGCTTTAATATTTGAAAACTATAAACCTTTCCAGGTATTGTATCATTAAAAGTATTTTGTCATTTTAGGTAGCCATTTTTCATGTTCTAAAATTGTCTGTCAGTCAGAATACTGACGTCAGCAGAATTTGTATGTGTTGGTGGTTTAGTCTAACTTATGCTACACAGATCATGTTCTGGCTACATGTGGTTTGGTGAGATATGAATGCATTAAAATGATGACCAAAATTAGAATGTAGTCTGAGTGGTACCTGTCTTCTCCACACACTGTCCCCCTCCTAACACATAAACACATTCTTTTTTCCTTCCCACCCCAAGGGGTGGATGCAACACATAGGAGAAAAAGATGGTAAGAGTTTAGAAAAGCAAGTGAAAATGAACTTGCATCTATTTCGTTAGCTGAGGAGAACTGATCAGTAAAGAGACTCGGGAACATCCCTTCCCACCCCCTCAACAAGAAGTCCAGTCAGTTAATTATAAAGAGTGATGACATCAGTAAACATATATTAAACATTTTCCTATAATGTCTAGAGTATTTAAAAAATAAGAGGAATGTAAACTTCAAGGAATAGACTACTTGGAAAAACTAGAGACAGTATACTGACAGGTAAAGAGTAAAATGATTTGATTATAGAGTGGACCTAACTGCTGGTTAACATTAAGCAAAAAATAGTTGATGTTGAGTTTGGGTGGTGAGTCTTAAAGGTAATAGTGGATTTAGAGTGAAGCAGAAGAATGAAAATATTCCAGGTCAGGAGACCATCCTGAGGAGAAGCTGTGAAGCCAAGAGGGCCAGTATTTGCATGAAGAAATTCCTAAGATACGCCAGCTCACAGCTGAGGAGGAGCAATGTTAGGGCATGGTTGGCAATGGGTATAACTGCTCACGAACCTTAAATGCTACATAGAGATTTGACTTGAAAGAGTATCATGGTTAGAGTATCATGGTTAGTAGGCAGTCACAGGAGCCACATATTTTAGGAAGCATAGGCAAGCCAGAGGAGAGCAAGGGAAGTCTTTAAGGAGACTATTTCAGTTATCTGATAATGAGATATTGAAGATTGAGTCTGCAAGTATTGAATTTGAGGGAAACTTTGAAACAACCTGGAGAACTTGATGAATAGATATATATTGTCCTCCCTTGTCATGGGCACTTTTAGTAGTCCTTAAAGAGCAGGCACAGTGTAGCCCAGACTAGTGTATTGTAATATGTATTTTTGCTGGTAGGTTAATAATTTTTTAAAAGAAATTTCCAGTGTGTTAACACGTGTAGAGAACTTTGTAAAATAACCTGTGTTTCTTGTACTTGTGTGACATTGTGAACTAAGTGGATAAGGACTAAAGGCACAGAAACTGAGACAGTAGGAAATATTTCTCCTGTGGGGTTGTTATTGATGATCTGTGTTTTCCTTCTTCCCATTCGCATACATCCTTCCTTAGACTGTTTTTCTTCCTATCTTCTTTTTCTCCATTATTCCATCTTTCCTTTGCTATCTTCCACCACTTCCATTCTTTTTCTTTCATGTATTTGACTCAAGCCTGCCTGTTCCCCCCCCCACCCCCGGTTAGTTTTGTTTGTTTAAATTTTTATTGGAATATAGTTGATTTACAAGGTTGAGTTAATTTCAGGTATACAGCAAACTAAATCAGTTGTACATATACCTATATCCACTCTTCCTTGCCTGGGTTAATTGGCATGTGTGGACATTGCTTAGTTCTGACCCATTCCATAGGAGTTCTCTGACCCATTTCGTAAGGTAAGGTTAATTAGGACTTTATGAAACATTATCCTCAATTGTTATTGTTGTAAAATGTAACATACTTAAAGAAAATTAAACAAACATAAGTATACATCTTTACATGTTATTTATAAAATAAACATTCATAACTATCACTTGGGTCGAGAAATAAAAAATTGCTATCATCCCAGAAGCTTCCAAAATCCCCTGCATACCGTTTCCCAGTCACATCTTATCTTTTAATTGACATCATTTATTGCTGCAGTTGTTCTCTTCCTAACCTTTTTTATGCCCCTCCCCCAACACGTATGTGTTGTATTCCCCCCGCCCCCCACACACATTCACACACACCTGTGCACACAATCTGTTCTGTTAGAAGGTGGCGCTCTAGACATGACCAAGAGAATATAGAGGCTGAAGCTGCACCTCCTCTTATTAGAAAGGTTTGAGAAAAGTACAGAGAACTTCTTAGCAGTATGCCGATGAGTATCTTCAAGTCTGATTGAGAGAAATAGGAAGTCACCTTTGAATGAGAAAGGTAATTTACACGAATTCTTTCTTATCAGGCCTTTGACTCCCCTCTGCTGTCTATACACACACTAAATAATAAAACACATACACAGCCCCACCCATTTGAAGTGCCATCTTAATACATAGATGCCGAGTTCCTCTTCAGGAAAAAAGTATTTAGCCAGATGTAAAGGTATCTGATGCTCCTTACAGTAAATATTACCTTTTAGAACCCTTAATTTTATAATAAATATATAACCACACAGGTTTTTTTGGGGGGAAATAGATAATATACAAGTCAAAATAAAGTTACTTAAAGACATAGGGCATGTTGTTTTGCTCTATTTTGTGGTATATATTTTGAACTTTTATAAAAAAGATTGACTTTTGTTTTGGAATTGTCTAAGATTCTAAGTAACCTCCTTTAAGATTAAATAGTAGTAGAGAATAGTTGATAAAAAGCTTTGCAAAGAATATATTAGCTGTACTTGGGATAAGCCTTAAATCATGTAGAGAGATTTAAAATGATGCCTAAAATACTGTTATACCTGATACTATAGTTTTCAAAATTCAAAGTAGATGTTTTTCTTTGTCATAATTTTAATTCATTTTTGAGTGTGCATAGTACATTCATGTGATCAGATTAAGTGATATAAAAATGTATTCAGTGAAAAGTGTTCCTTCCTCATCCTTGTATATGTTCTACTGGTAATTAAGACTTTTTATGAAAGATAAAATGTGAATTTGGGGCAAAGATGGACTGATAGACATAAAGTGACATATAGTAGAATAGAGAGCCCAGAAACAGACCAAGACGTTTGATATGGACATTTGATTTAGGACAGTGTGGCACTGTAGAGCTGTGGTAAGGAGGGTCTTTTCTACAGGTGATGTAGGGGGTACTGTATATCTGTATTGAAAAAAATGAAAACTGACCCCTACCTCACACCATATAAAAAATAAGGTGCAGATGGATTGTAAACCTAAATATGAAAGATAGAAATATAAAGTTTTAAAAAGAAGACTTCATTTTATGGAGTAGACTAGAGACAGGATTAATCTCTCCTCCCTTAAAAACAAAACTATCTGCCCCACCCCTCTCTCCCCTAGGAAATTCCAGAAACAGTGAAATCAGTTATTTACACTGACAATTAAGCCATAAAATATTATTTGAAGGGACTTCCCTGGTGGCGCAATGGTTAAGAATCCACCTGCCAATGCAGGGGACATGGGTTCGATCCCTGGTCCGGGAAGATCCCACATGCCGCGGAGCCACTAAGCCTGTGCGCTAGAGCCCGTGAGCCACAACTACTGAGCCCATGTGCCACAACTACTGAAGCCCGTGCACCTAGAGCCTGTGCTCTGCAACAAGAGAAGCCCCCACAATGAGAAGCCTGTGCACTGCAACGAAGAGTAGCTCCCGCTTGCTGCACCTAGAGAAAGCCCGTGTGCAGCAACAAAGACCCAATGCAACCAGAAAAAAAAATTTGAATAATTGAGAGTAAATTCAACTGATCTTCCTTTTCTCCTTTTATATTACACACATTCAAGTACATAAAAGACCCAGGCACCCCTTCCTAGTCTTTTTTTTGTTAAAGCTATTCATTCACATCTTTTTTTATAAAACTGGCATTTCCTTTAAAACAGAATTGCATAAAAGAGAAGTTTTACTGTTCTACCAAGCAAAAATTCATGTAAGTGTTAAAAAGTAAAGATATCTTATGTCTATGTTCTTTCAGGGCAATTAAAGCATTTCAGGAGGTGCTTTATGTTGATCCCAGCTTTTGTCGAGCCAAGGAAATTCATTTACGGCTTGGTCTTATGTTCAAAGTGAACACAGACTATGAGTCTAGTTTAAAGGTAGGTTGTTGGGTTTTTTCTGAGATACAATGTTTCATTTCTGTGGGGTCTTTGGGGGGGTTGTTAAATATTAGAACATTGAGAAATGTTGTAATTTATATGGTACTTCAAAAGAAAATTTGAAAATTTAGATGAAAGAACTGTTTATCAGCTATGAACTGGAAGATACATAAGTTTGGGTTTCTAATTATATCATTAAACTTTTTTTTTTTTTTTGAGTTTTAATTGTGGTGTGTTATCAGGAAAGGGTGAAGGTTTCAGTCTCAATTTGGACATCTGAATCACTCTGCCATTAGTGATTGGCAACCATAGAGGTCAGAGGCAGCTGCTTAATGATTCTGTATCTGTGACCCCATCATTGACTGTTTACTTGTATGGGTCTCACTAGAAATCTCTCCACCTCTACCAGCAAAGCACGTCTCATATCTTAAATATAAAAACGTGTGTTCTTTGCTAGTCATTTGAACTGCTGGTTTGTGAGTATAAACATTGTTGGGCAAAAACATTGTTGGTTAAATATTTTACTTTCTATAGAATTTAACATTTCTCAAGTTTTTCATTTAGTTTCTTGTGCTGTCTATGCCATCACTTTAGGTCTTACTGGGCTTTTCACGAAGATAGTGCTTCCCTGCTCGACAAAAGTATTGCTTTTTAAAAGGATTAGAAGTTCTAGGAAAAGCTTAAATTTTTGTGAATCTATGACTATTTATAATGGTTGCCATGTTCTAAATATCTCCGTTGCAGATTATCTTCATTCTGAAGGGTCAGGAGGGAGATAAACAATGACTTTACAGTAGGTTGTAGTTTGAATTCACTAGTAAGGAACTACTGAAATAAATAAATAAATAAAACTGTATTTAAGAGTGCCTAATTGTTCTAGAGTTTTAAAGTAGACAGTTTTGCAAATACTGTTTCTATCTTTCATGAGTTTATAAAGAACAATGCTGATGGTACGAAAGAGAGGTATACAGTCCAAAACACTAAAATAAGTAGATTGTGAAAGTATTCAGATCACACAGTTCTCAGAGGTAAGTGAAATTTGAGAAATAGGCCCTAGGGCAAATGTAAGTAATGTGGAGACTAAGGGCTGGCCTAGCAGTTATCAATTTTCTTCAAGTTTAGAGCAGCATGTCTCAAACTATATGTTCACATGTGAGTGGACTTGAAATGGAAAATAAGTTCAGATATGCCACCTTGCATATTTTGACCTCCTCTTGGGCATTCACAGTGTATACTAGCAAACCAGACTCTTAAAATGCTTATAATACAAAGTCAAGTTATTTGAGCTTTTTACAGAACTGTCACAATATGGTTATTGTGTGTTGCAGAAGTGTAAGTGTTGCTCAGGAAATATATTTGAGTGGAAAAAAGTAATGAGATTTGTCCCAAATTATGGAATGTAGCTATCTCTGAATATCAGTACAGTGGTACCTTAAACAATTCTATGGATGCAAAACTCTCTTTCCATGAAGGTGGCAATATTTAAAATCCCCTTTAATTAGGGGAAACAGTGTTGAGAAGTGTTCCATGGCTAATTCAAAGTGTTCTTGCTTACTACTGTTCAACAGAAACCTTCCTGTATACAACTTTTAATTTGTTCAGGCGTAAAGACTAATAAACTTTCAAGTCATAGCGATTTTAGCAAGATTGCCTTAAGTAAGTGCAGTCTTCTGGTTTGGGGCCTTTCTTCCATTTATTTAAAATACTTGATACCATTCTGATGTTTGTTTCATTTCCATGAACATAGAAAAGAATTTCAGGAGTCCTTGATATTTCTCTTCCCCATAATGAGAAGATTTCATTTGATTTTTATCTCATCTTGACATTGGCATTTTAAGGCTTCTCTCTCCAGTATTCCTCGTCTATTTTCAGGAGAATTTTAGGCATGAACATATGTAGTTGAAGAGGAGGTATTTCAGTATATTACTGTAAGTGCTTAGCATTTAGTGTAAGTGAAGGTAGGAATCAGAAGGAATGATATGCCCCATTCTCCTTAGGTGGCCTTCAGTTTTCCTACAGTGGACTGGCTAGTACTTTACCTTTATGGATAGATGTGGAGCCTCTGGTGACTTTTCCACTACATGAAGTTGTTTCCTAGCACAGTGTATTGGTATAGATGCTATGGGCTGCAACCTCAGAAACCTCCCAACTGAAGCTGATTAAAATGACAAAAAAAAAGTAGCTCATATAATGTAAAGTCCAGCCTTCAGGATTGGTTGATTCAGCCGATCCAGTGTTTCACTAAGGATTCATTTTCTTCTCTGTTCTGTGTTGGCTTTTTTTTTTTTTTTTGCGGTACAGGGCCCCTCACTGTTGTGGCCTCTCGCGTTGTGGAGCACAGGCTCCGGACGCACAGGCTCAGCGGCCATGGCTCGTGGGCCCAGCCACTCCGCAGCATGTGGGATCCTCCCGGACCGGGGCATGAACCCATGTCCCCTGCATCGGCAGGCGGACTCTCAACCACTGTGCCACCAGGGAAGCCCCTGTGTTGGCTTATTCTTAAGGCTGGTTGCCAGGTACACAGTGAGATGATTTCTTTTTCAGTGTCTCATAAAGAAAAGCACCTGTACCACTACTCTACATTATAGAGTAACTCTATAATGTAGAGTAGTGGTATAGGTGCTTAGTATAGTGCTGGCATATAGGAAGTGCTCAGTAAATACCTGATTTATCATGTTATAGAGGAGAAAGATCCTGACTTCCTGTTGATCTTTTCAAGAATATTTCACTTTGCATCGCATTGGCCAGAATTAGACCACGTGGCTATTCTCAGTGATTCCTTATCAAAGGTGTGATTATTCTTAGACCAGTTATGCCCAGTTTTTGAACAGAGCTTGATTTCCTGAATACACTGTTCCTGTCTAATAGAGAGTGAGGGGTGGGTAAAAAGAGTATTTTGGTATGGGAGTGGTGCATACAATCTGTCCATTACACATCTGGTCTTCTCTGCCTCATTTCCTTTCCCTCTGGGATGGAGAGATACAACATATACAGTATGTTTTAGATGGTAAAATATTTAAATAAAATACAGTTTATTTTCATAATAGATTCCTTCTTTTCACCCACACATGAAATGCATTCCAGGGCCTCCTGTTTTATTTCTATCTCTGGTAATAACTTTTCTCCCAAAATGTATTTCTGAAGCAGATTCATTCTGTTTTGGTACTGTGTAAACAGCTCTCAGAGCAGGTAAATTGGGTTTTAAAATTTGACCCTGCCAGTAAACTAATTGTGTGACTTTGGGCAAGATGCCTAACTTTTCTGATCCTCTTTGTGTCTGTAGAACTGGAATAACTGTACATACTCCACAAGATTGTTAAAAGATTAAATAATATATATATCGAAGTATCTGACAAATAAGTTTTTTCAGCCCTTCTTTCTTAGTTCTCAGTTTATCTACCATATCTAAAACTCCTCTAATTTGGGGCCTAGTATAGATATTGTTTGTGGGAAATCCATTTTCCCGTCCTAGAATTGACTACTTGTATTTTTGTCACCCTGCCCATCCTCAGAAATGTGAAGTTAATGCCCAGCTTACTTTTCAATCAGATGGTGTTATTTTTCCATTAAATTGGCCAATAAAGATTTCATGTGTTTAGTTGAGTGGTGGAAGTACCAATTCTTAATTTATTAACTAGTTTAGTACTATCTGAACCAGAGTCCATTTCAGGGTGACATTTCTACATGATATTTTGTTGTTTTTCTTTCCTGCTTCAGATAATATCCCCCCAGGTGAGATTGGTTGCCTGTTTACCTCCATATAATTCAGAATTTTGTTTTATTACTTTTTAATGATATTAATGATAATTGCTTACATTTGTTATGTATTTAAGGCAGTGTGCTATCATTACTTCAGTAAAAGCACACCAATTTTGACAAGTAGTTTTATATAATGCCTCTAAGTTTTACTCCCTGGCAGACTATTAAAATTATTTCCCTCATATGAAGCTAATATAGGCAAAATAATATGTGATAACACCCCTACTTCAGTTAATGCCAGTGCATCTATTTAATTTAATGAAGATTATTAAAAATGTCTTCCTAATATTTACATATTTAAATTTCCCTAAAATATGTCAGCATTAGAACTTTCTTGGATTTTTAAAGGTAAAGAGGGTGGCTTTTTTATGGGAACTTGTGGATAGTTGGCAATGTAAGTCCTCTTATAATTTGATATTTGAAGATGATAAGTGCTGATTGAAGGGATTAATATGAAAGGGTTAGGAAGATGAGAATTACTAATACAAGAGATGATTCTAAGGAAATGGGTTAAACTCAAATGAGACTTGTGTGTTAGCTTGGCATTTTACCAGGTGCTTAGTGTTTCTTGAATGGATAGATTAATGAAATGGAAGAGGCTATAAAATTACAAAATGCCTCATAGGATTGGCTGGAAACGTTGGGGAGAAAAAAAAAAGGCTGATTTTATTTGTCATCTCTTAACAGAATTTTTTTCTACGCAAACTGACAGTGCAGTTTTCTCTAGATGCCCCCTGTTCACCAGTTCATTCAGCCACCAGTCATGAAACTTCTGAGTGAAATAGCATTTCCACTTTTTATTTTTTTTACACTTTTCTCTAGAAAACTACATTTCCAGGTATCTGATTTAATCTCATATCCTTTATATAGACTCAGGAATTTTATTGTCATATTTTTTTATGCCGAGATATTAAGGCAGAAAGAATAAGTAAAGGCATCAGATGATAGGTACTTCCTTTTAGAAACCACTTTTGGAATCTGTGAAATGCCTCGTCTTTTATTATTTTATTCATTAATGTGTTTGTTTCATTTAATTAAGATACTTTGAACTCCATGTATTATAAAAATACTTGCTGAGAATTTGAATACTAGCTATTAAATTAATTTTAACCAGGCCTTAAGTTTCTAAGATATCTGTAATATTTTTTGTTGTTGAAGCTTTAACAGCATATTTTTATTAGTTCAGTTGTCTAAAGATAATAAAAGTTGCTATTATTTCTCCAAACCCACTCCTGCGCTGT